GGGGCCAGAGGCCAGACTGGGGGCAGGCCTGGGACTCCCGACGTGGTTCCTCTCTCTGGTTCCTCTGGACCTGGCGCTGGGAACACGTAGGGCCCAGAATGAGTCTCTGGTCTCTGGAGATTCGGAAACTCCTAAATGCAGCTAAAGCAAATCTGTCGCTGAAATCACCATCTCCATGGGCCTGGCGGGAAGGGAGAGGGTGCCCTGTTGGGACATGGGACCCCTCTCTTTCTTGGCCCTTCATTCCCCATTACTTACTCCCACAGCTTCTCTGGGTTTCTCCCTGTAGAAGGTACCACTTAGGAGTTAGTTGATAACTCCCAGAGCTGAACGCTACTCAGCTCTTCAGTATCCAACCTGGATATCAACCCAGGTTGTCCCGCTCAGCGACGGCTCCACCACCATCCATGGTGAACCCCTTACCTTGACATCTCATCAACTACCTGTCGCCTGACTTGTGCCTTCTAGACTCTGTCTACTTCCGCACGCTTCCACGCCACCAGGATGCCTGCAGCAGTCTCCTCTTTGGTCCCCCTGCCTCCAGCCTCTCCCAGCCAGCCTACTTCCTCAAGCAGCCAGAGGCCCTGGCAGGAGCAAAGTCCCCATTACTTCCTCCTCTTTCCCAAATGCCTTCAAGCCAGAGCCTCAGGCTCTTCAGCTGTGGGGCTTGGCCTCTGGTACTCAGGGTCTGCCTTTTGTAGTCCCACCTCCATACCCTCTCTGCACTGGTCCCTTGGTGTAGAATGATTTTCCTGCTCTGGTCTGCCTGTCACCTACCCTCGCTTGGAGGAGGCTTCCTTCAGCCAAAAAGGATGTCTTACCTCCTGCCCCGTCCATGGGTCTCCTCTGCCAGACCATGAGCCTCCTGACCCCAGGCTCTGACTTCCTCCCTCCCTGCCCAGGTACCTGGTAGAACAGCAAGTCGTGGAGGTGAATGTATGGGACAGGTGGGACGGCACCCCCTTGTGCGTGTCAGGTAGATGGGTGGTCAGGGTGGGTGGGGCGCCTCTTCAGTCCTGACGACTGCCTGCTGGTACTCCTTTTCCCCCTCAGGTACTACCCCTGCCTATGTGGGCATGAGGAGCTGGTACTCTACCTTCTGGTCAACGGTGAGAAAGGGCGACAGGGGCAGTGGGTGGGTGTGTGTGTACACATGTGCAAGGGCTCCAAGGCGTGTGTACACATTTTCAAACACCCTTGAGTTCTCTCTTTCCCTCACTCCTGCACCCACTCAGCAAACTGTTAACTCTACTTTCAGAACCTGTTCTCTGCTCTGCCCACGTCTCATCTCCACTGCTCCTGCCCAGGCCAGCCACAGCACTTCTCCCTGGACCATCTCTCCCAGGATGCAATGCCAGCCTCTTCGCGGGTCTTACGGCTGCCCCTTCTGCTCCACCTACAGTCTGTTTTCTATATCGCAGCCAACAAATCTAGTGGGCTTGTTAAAATCCTCGGCTGGCTTCCAACACCGTTTAGCATAGAACTAGGACACCTCGCTTTGCCTGGGACCTGCATGGCCTGCTTCTTGCCCTCTGGCCCTTCTCCTCTCTGGCTCTCCCATGCGCTTGTTGTTCCAGCCACACTGGCCTTCTCTCTTGTGCTCCAGCGCTCCAAGCTTGCTTCTACCTCAGGGCCTTTGCACTTGGTATTCTTCCTGCTTAGACTGCCCTTTCCCAGGTCTTTGTGTGGCCGACTCCCTCATTTCAATCAGGTTTCTACACATTGTCACCACCACAGTGCCCTTCCATGGTCTCCCTATGTGGCAGCTGTCATCACTGTCACTCTTTTTCTGGCTTTGTTTTTCTTCATAGCACCTAATATCATTTGTTAATCTGTTTATTGTCCTACCCCACTACAGTGTCACTTCAGTGAGGACAGGGACCTGTCTGTCTATGACAGTGTCCCCAGCACACAGAACAGGGCCAGCCTCTGAGCTCACTCTGTTTTGTGTAGTCTGCACTATGAAAGTATGTGCGTGTTAGTGTACAAGGCTGTGCCTGTGTGCCTAGGCCCTGGAAGTGGATGCTGGGATCAGAGTGGGCCCAGGGTCATTTGGAAAGGGGTCTCCAGGACTTACTGGCCCCGCATGTGGGGAGGAGGGAAGGAGAAAGATGGAGATTAGGATTTCCTCAGGCCCCTCCCCAGCTGCAGTGTGCAGCCTCATGGCCCTACTGACTGATGAGCCCTGCTGCCCCTAGGAGCCCACTGTGAGGCCAACATTTTCCAGGGCGAGCGCTGCCTCTATGGGGCTGCAAGTGATAACATCCGCCGGGTCCTGCGTGATTATAAGCAAGTGACAGCCTCCTGCAGGAGGTGGGACTACTACAATGACTTCTTGCAGCGGTGAGATGGAGCACAGGGCATCGGGATGGCTTTTGCTCAATGGGTCTGTGGTGGTTGTGGCCTCCCTGGGGCTGAGGAATCTCCTGTGGGATGGGCTGGGGGTCTAGAGTAGTGAGACTGAGGTGAGGCACTCTGCTGAGCCCCCACCTGCCCCTCCCCAGGCTTCTTGATCAGGGCATCCACAGCAATGTGGTCTTTGTGGTGCACGGGAAGCCCTTCCAGGCCCATTGCTGCATCCTGGGTGCACGCAGCGCCTACTTTGCCAACATGCTGGACATCAAATGGAAAGGCAAGAGCATCGTGGTCCTCAGGCACCCATTGGTGTCCCTCCCTGGGTAAGGGAAGGAGGGGAGTAGAAGAACAGCAGGGGGCTTGTGCTAGGCCACACTTCTGACCTTCCCTACTGGCTGTCTCTGCCTGCAGATCAACCCTGTGGCCTTTGGGGCCCTGCTGCAGTACCTGTACACAGGTGACCCCCAGGCTCGGTCTCACAGCAGGGAGGGGGCTGCGTTTCTGTCCAGTAGCAGACCCAGCTGTGGCCTTGGGCTGACCTCTTACTGCCTGGTGCTTTGTCCCCTGAGTGGGAGGTGGTTCCACCAGCTTCCTGGGTTGGGTTGGGAGACAATGAGCTGGTGTGTCTACTAAGGAAGAGCTTGTTTCACTGAGAAACTGAGTCCTCCTCCCAGTCATTCTCGAGCCTGTAGAATTCAGGCAGTGGCTCTGGGTGGGGAAACCAAGGCAGCATGTAGGCCCAGAAGTCCAAGCCCTGCAGCTGAATGGCTAAGTGGGAGTGACCACCTACAGAACTCTGTACCTGGGTACTGCTACTGGCCCCTCTCAGGCCCTGAACCTCACATGCTGCACCCAGGCTTCCTGGATGTCGGTGTGGAACACATCAGTGACCGTGAGTGCCTGGCTAAACAATGCCAGTTATTGGACCTACTCAGTGACCTGGAGGCCAAGTGCAAGGAAGTGTCTGAATTCAGTTTGTCCAGGCTTTGGGATTCAGGGCTTTGCGGGGGAATTGGCAGGGCCGGCCTGGCTTCCTGAAGCCGCACTCTCTCCTCTGCAGTGGCATCCAAGCCAGGCACTTATGTGCAGATGCTGAGCGTCAGGCTCCCCCCAGAAGACCCCCGGCTCCGGGAGGACCTGGCCCTACTGGCTGACTGCGCCCTGCCCCCTGAGCTCCGAGTAAGTGCACAGGGGCCTGGGGCTGGGCCTGCTGGGCAGGAGGTGTGTCGGGAGGGGGTATGGCAGGTAAGCCCTGCCTTTGAGTTCAATTCTCTGTGTGACCTTGAGCCAGTCACGTCCATTTTCTGAGCCTAGTTATTTACTTTCATTGTTGTCTTGTATTTAGATCTGCAAATGGGGTGGCAGTCCACCCCTCCAGGATCAAACTAGCGTAGGCTCTTGGCTGAGGCTGGTCGCTATGTCTTCTCCCACCTGCTCTACTGGTGTTTTCTCTCCCATCCCTCGGGGTGACCTAGGGGAACGGCCCTTCCCTTGCCCCAGTGGCTTCAACATCTGTCCTTGCTTCCAAGTGGAGGGTTGCCGTTTTCTCTGCCACAAGGTGCTGTCGCCCCCGCCCCAATCTCCCAACCCCTTGCCTTAAGCCCTGGGCCAGCTTCTTCGGGCATGGCCCGGGCCCTGGCCTTTCCTAGGCCCAGCCTTCCCTAGGCCTTCTTCTTTGGCCTCAGTGACTACTTCAGGCCCTGCTGAATGACCACTTCCAAGAGAATGAAGGGATGGAGGCCTCCGGCAGCCTGCTGGCTGTCACCCTGCACAGCCTCTCACCCAACATCTTCACCCATGTGCTGTACTTCATACACACCGATCACACGGAGGTGCAGACGGGGACAGGCTGTGTGCACTGGGCGGGGGTTTACATGGGGCGGGGTGGGGGGTCAGGACAGGTACACAGCTCATGTCACTGTGGGGCTTCAAGGGCATGCCCAGGTCTTGATTGGCTCCAAGGGGCAGGCTTTCCATGAGGCTGGAAAGGGAGTGTGGGGCCTATTTGGAGATTTCTTTCAGGCAGAAGGAGCCTCAGTAGGTTCTAGAACAGGAATGAGTGACAAGACCCAATTCATGAGCACATGACACTTGGGGACATAGTGTCAGCCACGTGGGGTCCCCAGGCTCTCCAGCGTGGGTGGGGACACTAACCCTGGATTCCCACAACAGCAGGGAGCCCTGAGCCTCCGACCTCTAGATTGCTACACATTCTTGGGGCTCCCTATTCTCCCATCCCCTGTTCTCTCACTGCCTCCTCATGTCTTTACCTACCCCAAGGTCCCCCCTAACACAGGGTGACCTGGGCAGCAGCAGATAGTGCCAAGAGTGCTCTGCCAGGGGCTGGGGTGGGGAGTGTGTATGTATAAAGGCCACTGTAATAAAGAGACCCTCAAATATGGTGACTTACAGAAAAGAGGTTTGTTTCTCCTGTCGAGGTGAGTGCCCCCTCCCCATGCCCGGGCAGGCGGCTTACTGGGACCCAGGTTGTCCACTCCGTCTTGGGTTGCAGGCCATATCCAGCCTGTTTGGTGAATAAAGTTTTACTGGAACAGCCACACCCATTCATTTCTGTGCTGTCCATGGCTGCTGCTGCACAGTGGTGGAGCTGAGCAGAGACCCTTTGGCATGCAGTATTTACCACCTAGCCCTTTAGAGAACAGATTTACTGACCCCTCCCCACCTCCTTCATGTCTCCTGCAGCGCAGTCCGGCGCTCCGCAGGCTGTCTCCAGCCTGCTCCCTGTGGCCATCTAAAGTCTGGACCAGAGCTGAGCATGTGGTCTCTTCTAACACAGAGTACAACTATCTCACCCACAGCCTCTGTGGGTGGGAGGGAACAGGTAAATAGTTACTCCCCCACCCTTAGTAGGGTCCCTGCCTCCATTTTGTCAAGCAACTTTTGTCACTTTCTGACAGCTTTTCAAGGCAGGCATGATTGTCTGCACCTCAGAGACGATCTGAGGCACAGAGGTGAAGTAACTTGCCCAAGGCCCCACAGCTAGAATTTTGAGCCCAGGTCTGTGTGATTCAGATCTGTGCTGCCTGAGGCATGGGAACCCCAGGCTCTTGTGCCATTTCTGGTTCCATGGATGCCTGCAGGGATCTGGGCTGTGCACCTGGCATGGGTAGGGCGCTCCTGCTTTGCCTGAAGCCGCCACCCTCCCCCATCAGGTCCCAGCCTTGCTGTGAAGCCCCTGTCAGGGTCTTGGTGACGTCGGGATGCACCCTCCCTCACCCCTTATTTCACTGCAGGTGCCCCCCGAGGCAGCCTATGATGTGCTGAGTGTGGCCGACAGGTACCTGTTGCCGGGCCTGAAGTGACTGTGCGGCCGCAGCCTGGCCCAGCTACTGGACGAGGACAGTGTGGTAGGCGTGTGATGTGTGGTCAAGCTGTTCTGCTTGGCACGCCTCGAGGACCAGTGCACTGACTATATGGCCAAGGTCATTGAGAAGGTGGGCTGGTAGGAGCGTCGGTGGTGGGGCAGGCTGCGGTGGGTGGTGGATAGCAGGCATGTCCTGAGCCAGCCTAGCCACAGCTGGTGGAGCGGAAGGACTTTGAAGAGGCAGTGCTGGAGGAGGCCAACACTGTGGCTGCCCAGCAAGAGCAGGACTCCATCCCGCTGGCGGATGACATCCGCTTCCATTTGACCAGCAGGGTGCAGACCTATAGCAACGCTGAGGCGATGTGGCGGCGGCTGTATGCACTTGAGGACCTGCTGGTGTCCATCGGTCTGGACTGCTGACCACTACTGGGCCAACTCCTTGCACCCTCCAGGGCACTGTGGGTAGAAGATGCTCAGTGGGGCTCCCTCCCCCTGTGTGCTTGGGGGCCCCAGGGAGGGTCACCTAGGGATGAGCCCTCTCCCTCCCCCGATTCCTAAACCAGCCCCCAAGGCTGTAGGGCTGAGCACCACTCAGGGAAACCTGGGGTGGGGCGTCTCTCAGTCCTGGCTGCTTGCTTGCAAAACCAAGCCTGCTTCTCCCAGGCACTGAGCCGCCCAGAAGGGAGCAGGAGAGTTTGTGTCAATAAAGCTTGACTTCACTTTGGAACCCTGAGACTGGGGTGGGGTGTTGGGGGGAAGGGGGTAGTTCTGGAGTTAGGGCCCCTCATGAGGGCGTTTAGGTGCCCAATAGGCGCTCCTCAGGAGTTGCGGGGGTGCCCTGGTTCTGTAGGCCTTGAGTAGGCAGTCTCTATCTGTCTGGAGGGCCCTGAAATCTGCCAGCTGGACTCCTCATCACCCCGCCCCCATGGCGGGACTCCCCTCAGAGCACAGCTTCCCCCTGGGCTCCTCTGGATGAAGTCACACTGAATCACCTACCTTGGCTTGGGGGCCCTGGGGGAGGTTTCGTGGGGGTAGGGCTGACTAAGGCCACAGAGGCTGCTTCACCCTCAGGCCAGGGATGGACTGGCTTCTAAGTCATACATAAACATTTCTAGCCCTCACTATGTACCAAAGGTTGTTCATTAACAGCTGCCCCGTCTAACCTTTACTACCCTGCATTTCACAGGCACAGGGACTGAGACTGTGCCACAGACGGGATCAGGGGCGAGGCCCTGGCGAGCCTGGCAGCGGCTTGCTGTGCAGTCCCAGGGTGAAGGGCACGGAGGAGTGGGTACAGTGAAGTGCAAGCGCGGAGGAGGCCCACTGACCCCAGCCTGGGCGCAGCCTGGCTCCCTCTGCCCCCCACCCCACTAACCACTGGCCGTGTCGGGCCAGGAAGGGGCTGAGGGCTGAACATCTCTTTTCCCTCAGGCCACGGGCCAGCCTCCTTGAGGAGGCTCTCCTGGCCTCTCCTGCAAGGCTGTGGCATTATTAGGGGAGTTCAGGGGTGGCTTTCTCAGGATGCCCTTCAGGCCTACAGCCCCCCTCCCCCAATTTAGGCCTTGAGGCCCAGACAGCCCCACCCCAAGGCTTCTTAGCTCCAGTTTGCCCGGGGAATAGTAGGCTGAAATCAGTGGTGTGCACAGCCCGGAGGAAGGAAGAATCAGAAGCTCACTGATCTTTCACAGGCTGAATGCTGGGAATCCTGGCCCTCCCTGCAATTGTTTCACGTCCCTTCTCATCTTTTTACTCTTGTTTATCATTTTCCAGAACTGTTGGGATCTTTTCCTTTCCCTCCTCAGTGCATTTCATTTGTGTTGGTCTAGTTCAGGGGTCGGCAAACTTTTGAGACGGAAGAGCCGCCCAGGATCAACAAACCGGCTCACAAGCCGCATGCTCTGAAGTAAAATTGAAAATGAAAATGAAACTATCATAGTTTCATTTATAAAATTTTTAAAGGATATTATTCACATAATGGTGATTATGTAGAAATATGTTTATAGCTCTCTAATAATTTTTAAATGGTTGTGAGGGACAGGATTGGCTCTTCCAGGGGTCGGCAAGCTTTTGAGACGGAACATATCCAAAGAGCCTCATGTGGCTCGTGAGCCGCAGTTTGCCGACCCCTGGTCTAGTGTGTTGGTCACATGGGGGAAACTATAAGGTCTGAATAACCAAGATGAGTGTTCAGTTGACTAAGTCAGCAGGCAGGGAGGACGGAGATGTAAGGGGAGCTCATTAAGCTGTCATGGGTGGTCCTACTGGGTGGGGGGTTTGTGCAAGGGCTATGGAGTCTGAAAGGGCCCAAGATGAGACTGGAGGGGTAAGCATGGCCGGAGCCCAGGAGTTCTAACCCTGGCTATGCCTCTTACTTCATTATCACTGTTCCCTACCTCAGTTTGCCTGTCTTTAAATTGGAGATGATTTTGATAGTGCCTCCCTCCTCTCTTGGAGTGTTAAGTGAGTTACTACTCGTGAAGGTCTTAGAGCAGCACCTGTTGTAGTGAATCTAGTATGTTTATACATGCTGGGCTCCACCGAGGGAGGTGTGAACAGGGAGTAATAAGGCGGACTTGCGTCTTTGAATGTTCACTCTGGTTTCCTTGGGGCCCACAGACAGGAAGGGTGAGGCCAGGCTAGTGGCCTAAGAGGCACAGGTCCCACCACAGACCACACACTAATCTTGCCTGTGCCAAGGAAGAGGTTTAAACATTAAATAAATTTGTTTTAATTTGCAATTCTTTTAATAAATATAAGGGGGAAGTGAACCAGTACATTAAACACATATTTTCTTACAGATATTATTTGAAATAATATAAAGTTTATTTTAGAATTAAGGTGTGTTAAAGGAAAAAACCACAGGCCCAAAATGGCCTCCATCACTCATGCTAAAGCCCATGATACCAAACCCATAAGTAAAACCTGATCTAATTGCAGTTTCAACCTTTCCTAGAAACATAGGCATAATCAGCCAGTATGGAATTTTTTGGTCAAGCACCAGTAAGGTAATCTGTCACATGGGCCATCCCTATCCCTATCCCTATCCCTATCCCTATCCCTTGTAGAGAGAAGAGGCAGTCTACATTATAAAAACCCTTCCTATTCTCCCCCAAAGAAAAGATGTGTGGCAAAAGAAACAAGCTTTTCTTTAGCCAATAGCTCCCTTGCCCCACTTTTCTTCCTATAAAATCTTTCCATTTTGTACAACTCAGAGTGAGTGCCCTTGTAGTTGTTAGATATGAGGTCTGACAATTAAGTTCGCTAATTTGCTACCATATGCTTAAACTGGCAGCACTGTACAAACAGCTCAGTAAGGTTTCATTACCTCGGTATATCAGTGTCTCACAGCTGTGTTCATGTTGACTGATGTTTGGCGGTGTCTTGCTGAGTGGTATTCATTGTTGAGTGTTTTTGTATGCTATCATGAGAATGAGCTTGAATTAGAGCAATGAGCAAACATTAAATTTCTTGAACTTGGCAAGAGTGGAAGTGAAATCAGGGACATGTTAGTCCAAGTTTATGGGGATAATGCCATGAAGAAAACATCAATGTACAAATGGATTACATGTTTTTCTGAGGGGAGAGAACGTGTCACTGATGAAGAGAGGTCAGGGCGGCCAGTAACAAGCAGAACTGACGAAAACATTGCAAAAATTAATCAAATTGTGCATCAAAATTGTTAGCTGACTGTGAGAAGCATAGTAGACCAAGAAAACCAATAGAAAAACAAGTTAGGAAAATCTTGGCATGAGAAAGGTGTGAGCAAAAAATGGTCCCAAATGAACACCAATGAACAAAAGCAAAGGAGAGTTGATGTTTGCCAAGACCTTTTGGAGAGGCAAGACAATGTTTTGGGCCATGTTATCACTGGTGATGAAACATGGGTGTACCAATACGACCCTGAAACAAAGCATCAAAGTACACGATGGAAGTCAGCCACGACCAAAAACGTTCCATCAGTCTAATTCAAGAGTCAAAATGATGTTGCTAACCATTTTTTTGATACAGAGGGATTATTCATTATGAATTTGTACCAACTGGACAAACAGTTAACCAAGTTTACTATTTGGAAGTGCTGAAAAGGCTGCGTGAAAAAGTTAGATGAAAATGACCTGAATTTTTTGCCAACAATTCATGGCTTGGCTCTTGCATCATGACAGTGCACCAGCTCACATGGCACTGTCTGTGAGGGAGTTTTTAGCCAGTAAACAAATAATTGCATTGGAACACCTTCCCTGCTCACCTGATCTGACCCCCAATATTGAAATATTGAAAGGACATTTGGATGACACTGAGGACATCAACGGTAATGCGACAACAGCTCTGATGGCCATTCTAGAAAAAGAGTTCTAAAATTGCTTTGAAGGGTGGACTAGGCACTGGCATTGGTGCATAGCTTCCCAAAGGGAGTACTTCGAAGGCGGTGACCATAGTGATATTCAGCGATGAGGTATGTAGCACTTTTTCTAGGATGAGTTCACACACTTAATTGTCAGACCTTGTAGAAGGCTGCCCAATTTAAGAATTGCTTAATAAAGCCAATTAGATCTTCACATTTACTTGCTTGAATTTGTTTTTTAACAAACCATACATGAAGAGGGTTTAAGGGAAAATACTCTGGAACTGATACCTCAGTTGTTTATTGATAGAAGAATAGTGATGTTACCAAACCAAACAAAGTCTATGTACCCAATGCTTCAAAGGTTAAAATTCAAAATGTCAGAGTTTGGAGTAAGGAAAGGTTTGTTGATTGAAAAGCTGCCAATCGAGGAGATGGTAGATGCCTCAAATCCACTTGGCTCACTGGACTAGGTTTAGGGTTTTTAAGGAGCTAAGAGGAACAGGTATGCAGAAGTGCTGGTGGGGCAAATATTAATTGGAAGACCTTGGACCTTGGCCATATATAGTAAAAGGGCCCCAACAATGGGTCTTCCTGGACAACTAACTCTTGGCTTTCTGAAAGGGTTCCATCAGTGTTCAAGTACCAGTTATATCCTGATCCTTTGGTTCCTTGGGGGACAGTTGGGCGGGGGGGACTTCGGTTCTGGGTGCAGCTGGAGGTCAGAGTTTTCTCTGCGCATCCTTCAGCTGCATGTCTTGTGGTTTTGGTCTTTTGTCTCTGAAGAGAAGCTCAGTATTTTGTTAAACAGGATAGTACAATTTTGAGCTGGTTCTGCTGTTGCAGTGAGGTGATCCAGCTGGGAAGCATTGGGGCCAGGAGAGTTACACTCCCCAGGACTGCCATCACACCAATGTGCCACACCTTCCTCATTTTCATGGCTACTTTTGGTCTAAGATGGGGAAAGGCTTTCTGTACAAAGGTGCCCCATGCAGTGTTGCAAATAAACAGGAAACCTACGCAAACAGCCTAAGTTGTAAGCATGGAAGGAAATTGTAGAATAGACACAACCATAAAGACATCAGTGCAGCTTCTGTGTGCACAGGGAAACGCGTGCTCATTCAGGCTGCCTACAGTGGCCTCCACAACCCCGAGCTGATCAGAAGGCGTGGTTCCCAGAAAAGAACGGAGGAGTGCTGAGTGAGAGTTGGGAGTTCATCTAACTTGTATGTAGTTTTCATAGTGTGGCTGTACTACTTTTAGAATGAAAAAGCACATATTTCCCTCACTTAATTTTTTTTTTTTAAAAATTTTTATTGGGGGAATTGGGGGAATGGGAACAGTGCTGGGGAATTGGGGGAAGGGGAACAGACAAGTTGCTGTTGTCTTGTTCTTCAATCTAGTTGTTGAGGACGTTGCTTCACTGGCCCAAGTTGGCACCATCATTGCGCTCTTCTCTGGCGAGGCAGATCAGTCGCCGGCTTCTGGACGGCCACTCACTGCGGCTGCTGGCCGCTCACGCTGGCTGCTGGCTACATACGGTAGCCCATGGCAACCCACTGCCACAGGGACTGCAGCCTACACCGTCGCCGGCGACTCATGGCAGCCCAGCTCCAGGTTGAGCTGTTGTTCAGCATCTTAGCTGTAGAGGGCAGTGTCACTGGCCCTCATATGTGGGATCCGAACCGGGGCCCTCTGGCATCCCAAGCGAGTTCTTAACCATCGCGCCACTCGGCCGGCCCTCCCTCACTTAATTTAAATTCATTCCTGCCTCTAAGTGCAAAACTGCTCAATGAAAAAAGAATTTCTTTAAATGTTATTGAGAAATATGTGCATTCTATCCCAACTCAAGATATCTGCATATTTTTCACAGATGGAAAAATAGATCAACTAAACACTGACAAAATAAGCAACAATGGAAAAGAAACACAATTTATACATATAATGTTAAGGGACAGCTGGTTGCACCCCCAAGAAGAGAAAAGAAGTAATGGTAGAGTGGGGCACAGATGAGATCAGTAGCAGTGCTGTGTTGGGTCATACTGAAATTGGGAGCAAAATGAAAAGCCAGATCCTATCTTTATTTAAAATGTTTTTTGGTTCATTATGATTTTTTTGCATTAACTTTGATTTACAAAATTACATTACAATGTTACTTAACTTGATGACTAAGATTTTTGGTGCCTCCTTACATTTTGTATTAAGATGAATGCCTCACTTGCCACACTCTAATTATGACCCTGACCCAAACAGTTGTTATGTGAGGTAAGTCTATAACGGAAAAAATAAAATATTTTTTCACCCATCTTATAAATATCCTCCCCACCTGAAAATAAACAAGAATGACATGACCATAAAGATGTCATTGCAGCTTCTGTGTGCACAGGAAAATGTGTGTTCATTCAGACCGCCTCAGGTGGCCTCCGCAATCCTGAGCTCCTGAACAGAAGGCATGGCCCCAGAAAGGAATGGAGGACTGCCCCAGTATCACATGTTCTTTCCTCTACCTAGAAAACTACACAGCCTTCAATGCCCCCTCTCGCTGCAGTAGACTGAGGAACCCAAGACAGGGTGAGGCTGCCATCTCACTGGCATCACAAAATTAGGAGTGCTGTTGCCAGAGTTTGGGGCTTTGAGTCCCATCCCTGGAGCCAGTGCTTTTAGTTTATTAACTAACATCTGTCTCTCCTCATCTAGGGGCCGTCGGGATACAAATTATGTCCCAGCGAGGCTTCCAGTGCAACTCAACCCCCTTTTTATGATTTAAGATCAGATAGGGTGAGTTTTGTGAATCCCCAATAGGCAGGGACACCTCTATCCCCCTTCTCAGCTGGAAGCAGATACAGAAGAAGAGACTTCCCGTCCCTCAACTCCCCACAGAGATTTACAGGGACCACATCTCTTAGAAGAAATAAGGCAGGCAGTTAGAGACTAATTGGTTAGAGGTAATTGTGTCTCTGCATTCCTGCACATCAAACACAATCTATGGGGAGCACCGCCTGGAGACCTCCCAAATTCTTCCCTTATCTGCCCTAAGCATTAACCATGGTAGAGGCCACCAGGACCTCCATCTCACCCTAGCCTCATTATACAATCATTGTAACACATATGCCCAGAAGTTCATTAATATCATTATAACAGACTGAACTCTGGGAAGGGACATGGCCCCTTATCAATCACAGGTGTTAATCAAGCGGTCCCGCGCCTGGTGAGGAACAGCCCATCCTGGCCCAGGCGAAATAAGATAAAACCCCCAGGCTGCTGCGAACCACAGCCCTTGGAGCATCTTGAGCCTTGCCTTTGCTCAGGGCCCACTCCAAACCCTTTGGAGTGTACTTTTTCTTCTAATAATGCAGCCTTGAGCCTTGAGCCCTTTGAATCTTGAGCCCCTTGATCCCTTTGAGCCATTGAGCACCTTGAGTCTTGAGGCCTTGAGCCTCTTGAGCTGGCTTTTGCTCGGGGGCCCCCTCCAAACTCTTTGGAGTGTACTTTTTCTCCTAACAATGGCCTTGAGTTGCTTTTCTTTGTGCTTGGCCCACTCCTAATTCTTTGGAGTATACTATCTCTTCTAATAAACTTTTTTCACCACTTTACCTCTGTGTGTCATTCAATTCTTTGCTTGAGACACCAAGAACCTGGACACCGCGCCAAGAAGGGCCCAACCCCTGCCAACGTGGTGGCTAAGTTTCCCAGTTTTTCTCCCCAAGGCTCTGGTTCGACCCCTGGTGTGAAAGCCAAGGCGGGACATCTTGCCGAGAAGGGCTCCTCTATCCGGGAACATTAGGATCTGGATCAGACATTTTGAAGGCATAAAAATCTCACTTTGGGAAAAGTCTGTACCAGAGGCCTCAGAGGCAGGCACTTCTGAAGGAAGAGGCCCTGGGGCCCTCAGGCCTCAGGGAATTTCTGCCCTGAGTCAGGAAGCTGCCCTCAGACAATACCAGTCCCTGGGGGTGGGTGGGGGTGGGGGGCTTAAGATAGGAGAGTTGTACTTGCACTCTGCACCTGGGAGGCAGCAGGGTTCCTGGCACCTGAGTCAGGAGACTTAGGCTGGGACTCAGCGTCTGGTTTTGAACAAATCACCGAATCCCTTGGAGCCTCAATTTACTTAAACGGGAGTGAAACCGGAGGCCAAACGAGTCCGAGGCTCGTGCTGCCTGCGCCGCTCAGCCAATAGACCGACACACGAGTTGGGTCGTAGGACAAGAGTTTATTATCAGAGCACCGGTGGTCTGAGAAGGCAGTGGGTTAACACCTCAAAAAACTGCCGTCACATTCTCAGACCAGCTTGGGGTTTTTAAGGGAAAAAAGGTTTTTAAGGGTTCCTCCAGGGAGTATGTGATGGTTCCAGGGGTCTGCATGGAGCCTTCCCTGTGGCCACGTGATTCAATGGTGGTGTCAGCAACCCAGGAACCATTGAGATTGTGATCAATAAGCCTAAGGGTATTAATCATAAGTTTCAGGGTAATTTTCTAAAACAGGGAACTGGGTGGGACAGGGGACAGGGAAATGATCTATTGTTAAGCTATAGGTAGGTCAAGTAAAGGTGAGGCCAGGAATGTGGAGAGGCTTCTACTATGGGGATGCCAACCAGGCCCTGTTTCAGGAGCAACAACACCCAAAGCTGGTGTGAAAATTAAATGCAAGCCATGCTGACCAAATTAAATGCAGGCCGAAGCTCCCCGCTGTAGTGGGGGCTCAATCAATGTGAATTTCCATTCTCTCCTGGAAGATACAACACAAGCAATTTGGGCAGATTTTGTAACCTTTCCTTTTGTGTAGAAAAAAAGCTCTATGGAAAGTAATCTCCCAGGGTGATCTGATCATAAATTCCTAACTGGAATTTATGGAATTCCAGGTCATGGTAGGTAGTCACACCCTAGGCCTACAACTTCTTTAGTGAAAGGTTTTAAGCCATACCTGTCCATTGTTTTGTACATCTAGGCTAACACATCTTTGAGATGCTAGAAATAATACCCCTGGAAGGCATAACCACCCTTAGAAAAGCACATAATCTTGTTAACTCTCCTGTAATCCAATCCCTGCTTTGTTTTCTCCCACCTCATATAACCTTCTTTACGTTCCTTCCTTAATTTCAAATGCATAAAAGAAGCTGCAAAACTGTTATTCTTGGAAGCATTTGAGATCTTGCTCTCCGGCATATGTTGTCAGTTTGACTCAAGTAAGCTCATAAAAATTCTCCACAGGTTTAGACTTTTTTTTATGTCGACACTTTATAGAGCTTTTTAGAGCTAGACCCATGTTCCGTATGTTCTCTCCTGATTCCTTGGCCCTCAAACTTAGTTGGTCACCAAACCTTGTTGATTTTACCTCTTCAGTTTCCACTTCTTTGCCCCACTTCCACAGTCCTAATTAGTGCCCTGCCTCACCTGCAGCCCATTCTCATCACCCTGTTGGTGTCTTCCAGGCTGATACTGAGCCTGGGTCTCCCCTTCCTGAAAGCCTCGGTGTGCACACTTCATTCTGGGTGCAGCCTGCTGGCTGTCCCTGATATCTGAGCCTTTTATCATGGGCACCTGGCATTTCCCAGCCTTCCTTAACCAGGTTCTAGATGTGAGCTGAAGTACTAGATGCGATCTCTGCTTTATTCCTTGAAAGGCACATGCCTACCCCTTTCCTTTCTTCCCCCCTGGTTGGCTGGAACAAAGATGCAGCGGCAGGAGCTTAAGCAGCCATTTTGGACTATGGGCTTAGAAGCTTCATACTCAAGACTGCAGGTCCAGGGGAGTGGAAGACGGCAGGAGAAAGAGGTGGGCTCTCTCCTCCCTGCTAGCCTCCATCTTGGTCATGGCTGTGTCCTCTATCTGAAGTCCCAGCCTGACAGGTGTCCCCTTCCCACAGGGGCAGCTCTCTCTGTGTTCCAATGAAACCCTATCAAGCCAGGGCTGTTGGCTCCCCACTGCAGCTGGTCTGGCTCTGCACCTACCCCACAGGCTCCATTCACCACACTACCCTTGGTTGGGTGCTGGTGAGGGTTGCCCTAGATTTCCTCCAGCCATTCTGAAATTGCAGTTCTGGGACGGATCTCCAACCCCAAGTCTTGCCTTGAGCCTCCTTGGCCACAAGCCCTGTGTGCCCCACTCCCACTTATCTCCCTGCTCTCCCAAAGGGCCACCTCTGGAGAGCATGCTAGCCTGCTAGGCTGGCTCCACTGTGTGCTCTCTCTTCTTGCTCCTCTGCTATTAGGTGCTGGGGTGGCAAGTTTGTGTCACGCTCTCTTCATCCTGTGGGGCAGCCCCAGGGTCAGGTGCCGTGCCTGGCAGGCACATCACGGGTGCTTCCGATAGTCCTGAATGCTCACAGGAGGCAGAAAAAGGCCAGGTTTGGCTCAGGCTTAGGGTAGAATTTGGTCAGGTATAAGTAGAAAGGAAGGGCCTGGGAGAAGCAGATTGTCCTTCATGTCTGCAGCCCTTGGAGAAATGTCTACAGAGAGGGCAAGGCCAGGGCAGGGCCAGCTCCAGCCATACCCACAGGGCCCACTCCCTGTGTGGGGGGCCCAGTGGAGAACAATATACAAAGCCCTTGTTCAGAAATGATTGAGAATTTCAAGACAGCAATATCATAGCACTAAACAAAACATGGGGCCCTTCTAAGTGTGGGCCCCTGGGTGACTGCATGGGTTGAACATGCATGAAGTTGACCCAGCGTCCATAATAACCCCAGTGCCAAACTCAGTACCTAGCCCAGAGAGGACATTTGTCCCTCCCCCCTTCCTCCCTCCCTCCCTCCCTCCCTCCCTCCTTTATTCACTCATTCCCTCTCCCCTGCCCATCCTTCCCTCCCTCACTGGACCATTTTTTATCAGGGACCCCATGGAAAGCAGACAGAGGTAGAATACAGGGACCCAAGCTTCTTGCAGTTCATTCCAGTGGCAGAGACAGAGAGCTACTGAGTAGACAAGCAGAACATGGAGGGTATCAGATGGCAATCAGCGTGTTGGAGGAAAAGAAGGCAGGGCAGGGTCCAGGATGGTGCAGTGATTGTGGACAGGGTGGTCAGGAAAGGCTTCATGGAAAAGGTGGCCAGCAAGGAGGCTGGTGTGTGGGGGTCGGTGGATACTGGAGGCGGGCAAAGGCAGGGTGGCCACGCCCAGGATCTGTAGGCTCAGTAAGGACTGTGGTCTGTGTCTGAGTGGGATGGGGCCACAGGAGGATTTTGAGAGAAAAAGATCATCGTCTGACTCATTTAACACCCCTCTGGTCATTGTGTGGAAAAAAGACTGAAGGAGTGCGAGGGGGGAGGTGGGGCATCCCCTGAGGCAGTAAGAGATGGTGATAGCTGTGGGGCAGTGGGGGCATGGAGAAATGGGGGCAGAGGTGACAGGATTTACTGCTGGGCCACGTTTGTGGGTACTGAGAGGAGTGTAAAATGCTGGCCAGAGCTTTGGCCTGAGCAGCAGGACAGCTGGGGTGCCCTGTGCCGAGATGGACAAGGCCCGGGGTGGAGCTGGAGTGGCGGTGAAGATCAGAGCTTGTTTCTGGATGCATCAGGCATCCATGTGGCACTGTGGAGGAAGCGGTTAGCCATGTGGTCCAGAGCTGGGGGTGGCCCAGCTCCTCCAGTATGCAGTATGGCCAAGTCTGCAACATAACAGAATGCATGCAGTCTGCTCCTGGAGCAGAAGTCCCAGAATGCAGAGGACAGAAAATCAAGTGCACACTCATGGGTTTGTATCAGGTGACTGACTCAGCCCATGCTCTCAATGCTTCTCTCTCTTTAGGGACTGTTATAGTCTCAGATCAGACAGACAGACAGACAGACAGATAGACACCACCATTCAGAAAACATCTGGTTTATTAGGATTAGCTGTGGCATACATTGGTTCCTTTAATAGTTCTAAACTGATACACGTGTCCCCACTAAGAGCATACATGTAGGGATATGTCAAGCTGCAGTGATAATAGCAAACAGGTGAATTGCTTGGAAAATCATTGTGATCCTAATGGGTTTATGTCAGTATGGTGAGAGATAGAAAAGGTAGCTGAGGGCTTTGACATGGGATGCTGAGCAGAGTCAGGTGGGTGTTCAGAGCACCCTTTTACGCTCTCGCCTTGAGCCCCAGTGCCTCCCAGAAGCAGAGGAGGAAGCTGGAGTTGCCACTGGGCGACAGGGAGGCTGCCCATCCATCCCCCATCCCTGCAAAGAAATGGGGCCCGTTGGGGTTGGGACTCCCACTGACTGCAGGTGGCATCTTTGCCAAGGAAGATATTCAGGCATGAAACCCATTTCTGTATGGACCAGCATGACCTCTAGGTTGCAGGGGAAGATGTATTCACATCAGTGCTTCAGCCTAGTATCCCGATGTATCCATCCCCCTAGATGGACTTGGGTCAGCTGCATCTCTGGGGTCTCCTCCATGGCTGGCCTTTGCCCTTCTCTCACCTTTCCAAGGCCAGGTTGTGTGTGATCTAGCTTCCCTTCCAAGCCCAGCGCGTCTGCTCTGCTGCCATGGCACAACTTTGAAGCTCCGGATATCAACACCGAGCTGTAAACTTTGAGTGTGAACTCAACCGGAGGCTCGCACAGTTCTCCTGGAGTGCCCCAGGTAAAACTCCAGACACAACTGATGTCTGGCTCTTGAGCTGACCCCTTCTTCATTAGGCAGGCGTGACATGGTTCCGTCCTGTCCCCTCTCCTAGATTAAGAGTCAGTCCCGGTTTCAAATATTTTTTTTCTTTGTAACATAGGCAATTCTTAAAACAGATATGTGTGACTAAATTTGTCTCTGTAACAGCTATCATATAAATTCATGCATCCAAAAGATTCCTGGTCAAACCATGTGCCTGATATTTAATTTGGGAAATGGTGTTGCCATCACATGCTTCTGGGAGAGGTGGAGTGGGGGTGGGGTGGCTGGGAGGTGTGGGGCTTTGTGTGACCTGAGCTATCACAGCTCCAGTGAGAATTCCAGGTCTAGGCTCATGGACATCTTACGGGTTTGGGAATTTGCAGTGTAGTTTCTGCTTTTCCTTAGCTGAGGAGCACAAACATTCATACAGCTGCCAGCTGAACGTGAGCCGACCTTCTCTCTCAGTGCATTTCTTACACTTTTCCTCCCTCAAAGAGAAGCCAGACAAATACGATGGAGCAATGGAAGCTGCTCTCTGTGGGGACCTGGGCCCTGCCCTCCATGGGGTGGGTGCCTGGGAGCTTCACCTCACAAACCTGGGCCCTTGGCAAGCATGACTGCGCTGCCTATCGGAGGGGGATCAGTTCTAGCTCTGACATGGTGTGGGCAGATCCCTGGAGGGAGGGTGGAGGGGCCAAGAAAAAGCCCCTTAAGAACAGGGTGTGGGTGAGGGGCAGCAGTTTTGCTGCTGGAGGACGAGGGGCGGGAGCCCCAACTGCTAGTGTCAGAGGCTCTGTCGGGGAGCAGCCGCCTCTTCTACAGCCTGGGACCCCTGCCTGCACTTTCCATGGGGTTCCAGTAGCTCTGCCACCCTCACCCTTCCCTGCCCCCCTGCCACGGTCATAGTTGCACTAAGGAGCCTTGTGAGGTCACAGCAAGTCCCATTGAGAAGGAAGGTATTCCAGCGGTGACTGGTGATCTCTGTTTATTGCTGACACTAAGTGAGGGCCACGGGTTGCGGGGGTTGACACCTGAAAAACGCTGGTCGGGTGCTGCAGGGCCTTGGCTGGGAAAGGCCCTGTCAGTCAGCCTCACCTGCCCGCGCTGCTGCGGCCTCAGGGCTGCAGGGCCCCAGAGTTGGGACTCCCTTCTCCTGCCACCAGAGGTAGCTATGCTGCCGGCACCAAGCTCCCAGGGCAGCTGTGGGCCCAGGCAGGCAGGGACCAGGGACGAGCCTGCCACTGCCACTGCTGGCGCGCCAGGCCCTCCCTCCCGGGGGCTGCGCCTTGGCGCCTGGCGCACAGGGTCCCTGGCCAGCTTGTCTCGATCCTGAGCAGAGACATCAGGCTCTTGTGCCTCCAAGCCCCCTTGGTTCCACCCACCCAAATAGCTTTAGAATAAACATTTTCTATTAGAGATTTCCTCTTCAATACAATCATTCTCTCATCACGTCAGGTAAAATGAGTCACGTAAGGAATAGCAGCCCCTGAACACACAGTTCTCAGTGGGCAGCTTCAGGTTCCCTGGTGGGAAGGGTGGGGTACGGTCTCCTGCCAACTTCTCTCTCTGGGCCAAGGCCGTTCCCTGAAAGCCCGGCTCCCACTGACAAGGAGCCGCCATGGGTCATGGGGGGCCATGCATTATGAGGAAGTGCCAGGCATTTTCTGGGCCTCTGAGGGCACATGAGTTGCCCAGCAAGCTGACGCCAGCCATCCCAATCCCACCACGGTCAGAGAAAAGCCACAGAGTGAGGCAGGTGGGGCGGTGTGGGGGTGGGACTGGAGGGGTGAACAGGAGGGGGACTCCTCCAATTATTGCAGTCAGGTGTCCTGGAACACCAGGAATTCCTGGGACCCTTGCAGGAGCTAGGAGAGGCAGGGAAGAGGCTGTGCTATGTCCAGCACGGTCCATCTCTGGAAAACTGCCTTTGACCCTCCTCTGTTTTAACGTCTACCCTTTAAGGGAGATCCAGTGACAGACAGCCTAACATCTGTGACAAGAATGTCTTTTTTTTTCTTTAGTAAATTATGTTAGGGATTCCTCCAATTTATGATTTTGTTTTTTTGTTAGTTTGTTTTTTGGTTTTTGTTTTTTTTTTTGCAAGCCACATCTGAGAAGCCAGCTCCTGCCCTTCCTGTGCCCACTTCCCCAACTGTGGGACAGCTGCCTGGACAGTGCCCTCAGGGCGGGGACCCTGTTCTCGCTGCCGCTGTCCTTTGAGAGATCCACATGTTTATTTCATGGAAGACAGAGTTGGTTACTTCAGGAAGCTCTTTGTGGAGAACATGGTAGGCACCTTCGTAAATCTGCAATTAGGAGAGACAGGAAATCAGGGCTACAGGAAGTGACAGGTGCAGCGGACGGGCGGTCACACTCTCTCCATGCCCCCAGGACTCCTGTCTTCATGGTGCCAATGCCTTTCGATTAGATGATGGTTCAAATAAATTAAAATGTCTCAATATGTTCTAGCACTTCCTTTCCTAAATCCACACATACTTTCTCTTCATTCCACTTCTCTCTCCAGCTGTGGACCTGGTCTCTGCCTCCATCTCAAAACAGTGATTTCCATTCCATCTTCACTTCCTTGCCTTCCACTTGGACCTCAGCTAATCCCAGTCTACTTTCACTCCCGCCAACCCACAGCAACTATGCTTGGCACAGGCTCCAGTGACCTTCAGTTGGAGTAGACAAGGAACACTTTTGCTCCCATATTATTTGACTCTCAGCAACAGTCAAAAGCTGCTAGCCTTCTAGAAACACTTTCCTCTTGTAGTTTTTTTCCATTCTTTCCCCAAATTTCCAATGAACTCTCTAATAGGTATCTCAAAATGGAGCTCTTGACATTTCCCAAGTCTGTATCTCCATGTGTCATAGACTCCTCACTTGTGCAGGCCCAAGCTCAGGATTCAAGCCTTAATCACTTGATCTCACTCCCTACAGTCACTTTCTCTCCAGGTCCTGCCAGGCTGTCCCCTGCCTTCACTGCTATCACCTCAGGCCAAGCCCATCCTCTTGGTCTGAGTGACAACACCATCTTTGCACCTGGTGTCCCTGTTGCCTCTCTTGTCTCCACTTGGCAGCTGGGGGGTACTTTGAGAACTGGAGTCAGAGCATGTTGCTCTCCAGCTCAGGACACTCTGGTGGCTTCTTCACTTCACTAAGAGAAAAAGTCCAGACTCCTCCACTGCTGCCAGGCCCCTCCCACATCATACACCACCCTCACCCTGCTCAGTACTCCTACCACACGGGTTTCCTTCTGGTAGCTTGCATACACCAAGATCTTTGCAACTCTGATCTTCGAACTTGCTCTTCCTTCAATCTGCAATGTTCTTCCACCGCTTTAGTCACTGTCAGCTTTCAGGCTTGCCTGTCCATCCAAACTAGGTGCTCCATCCCTTCTCTGGTCCCCCTGTCCCCACCCTCTGCTTAATTTCCTTCAGGGCACTAACCCTCTCCATCATGGTCACCCTGTTTGGTTTGTTGCTCATCCCGCTAGGACATAGACTGCTTGGGGAAGTTGAGACTTTGCCTGTCTGGGTCGGGCACAAAGTCAATGCTCAATAAACAGTTGGATTAAAGAAGAAACGAATGAATGGAGAGTGACAGCTACGCATGGTCTCCTTTTGTAGTGTCACCAAGGTTCCCTGCTGGCGAAGGGCATGATCTGTGAGGTGCCTTCACCCAAACTACAAAATGCCCATGACATTTTATATTCTCCAGCATTAATAAGAGCCATTTTTCCTTTTCCTTTTTCTCCTTCTTTCTATTCACCCATGAGTCTATTATCTGGTAGTCGGTGTGGGCCAGGGTCTGCAATTCATAACAGTGTGAGGGGAGCATTTGACAGTTTGCAAAGACATGCGAATTTTTTCAACACAGCGAAGAATGAAGAGGACCAGTGTCCTTGGGTCAGAGGGTGTGAGTTTGAATCCTGACCCCACCGCTCAGTAAGTGTGGCATCTGTAGTGAGTTGCCTGCTCTCATTATAAATTAGCAGAAAATGGCCCTGGACTCAGGGCTTCCATGTGTCCACTGCACAGGCCATAGTGGCATAGTCTGGGGACACACCTATTCGTCAGTGCACTGGGGCTGTGGTCTGCCCAACTGACCTTCAGGGTCACCTCTCACTTGACAGGTACACAGTAGGTACTCCTCCTCCTTCCCATACCCCCAGTTAGGGTTCTTCCCAGTTCAATTAAACAAACAAAAACAGGAATGTCTGGACCCCAAAACCACATTTTCCATCTGAAAGGCCCTTTGAGTTAGTCCCTGCGGTCTGTGTGTCTGACAGGCCGTGTGGCTGAGTCATAGGTCCCACCCCCTCTGTGGGACCTGTTCTTGCTGATCCCCTTGCAGCCCAGATCCTGCCATGTCCCATTGCACTGGGCACTCAGAGCCCCTGGTGGTGGCAGCTGGTCCTGCTGCTGCTGGTGCAGAAAACCAACCCCCCGGGAGGCTGGGCAGCCAAACACCATTGGACCTTGGACATGGCAAAGTGGGAGACAAGCTCTTGGAGACCTTTCTTTGCCCAGTGTCCAGTCGTGGGGTTTTTGTTGTTGTTGTTGTTTTTCATGAACGGACATCTTCTGAGTGTTCACTCTTTCTTCTTTTCAAGGTTGTTCATGCAAACAATCAGCTAATGGCTCATATCTTTGCTTAGAATTAACAGCTGTCTCCTATTCCTGGTACTTATTTCCCAATGGAGCAAGATACCTGTCCTGGGGGTGGCCCTGGAGGATCTGGGCAGATGCACCCAAAGGGATGCCACCTTCCCCACCCTGGGGAAGTGAGGGAGGGCAGCTGCTCACCTTGAGTGTCTTGTCCTGGCTCTTGGCAGACTCCATGAGCAAATAGGCCCCTTTGCTGTCGCACAGGCGGTCAGCAGAGCCCTGGAGCAGCAGGAAGGGCAAGGTCAGCTTGGGGAGGGCCCGCTCGACCCGCGAGACAGCATTGAGCAGCTGGATGCCAAAGCACACTTTCAGTCCTGCCCTGCAGATGAGGGGGTCTGTGATGTAAAGATCCACCTGGAGGGAAAAGAGAGAGAGGGTTCTACCAGTTCATGGGCAGGGGACTCCCCGATTTCCTGTTAGTTCTTCCTTCTTCTCTGGCCTGAAGAGCTGATTCCATTCGATCAGCTTGGTCTGGGGCACAGGTGCGAAGAGCCAATCGTGTGGCCAGCCCTTCTATGGTTGCACTACTTTCGATGCTTCTCTTCATAGACTTTGTTTATTCCACATTCATAACATGTGCCTGTAGACAGTTTCAAGATTTAATTTATCTATCTATCTATCTATCTATCTATCTATCTATATATATCTATCTATCTATATCTATATCTATATCTATATATTTATATAGGCAGCATTGTATTGTTCACTTTGATTATTTCACTCAGGAAGAGTTCTGAAGGTGTTTTGGTGTTAGTTTGTGTGGATTTTGTTTTTTCCTGTCTCCCCTGACTTGGTGTCCACCTGGTAGAAGTGGGTGAGGGGCACATGCAAAATGCAGGGACAATGGGGGCCATGGTAGAAAGCATGGGGCTGGTGTGAGGAGCCTCTGAGGCACTTTGGCAAGGTACCATCCTACGAGCTTCAGGAGAAGTGAAGTCCAGGGCAGGTCCAGGCTGGGGTGGGCTCCAGCCTCCATGTCCTGTGGGCTGCGAACGGCTGCTGCCTCTCTCGGGGACATGACCATGACCAGAGGCTGGGCTCTCCCTTCTCAATCATCAGTCTGCCTAGGACCTAACTCTGATACTCTCCCTGCTTATGGCTCAGAATCTGACCCAGCCTTTCATGGGGTTACCCTGACACCCCGTCCTTGTTCTCCCTGGTTTCACTCCTCCTGCCTCTAATGAGAGAGTGAATTGCCTGCTCACTGTGGCACCAGATGGGGCACTGGCCCACAAAAACTGGGTGAGAAGTCTCTAGAACTCTCTCAGGCCCATATGCGCAGGTGTGAGGCCACAACACCTCTTCTCTCATTTCCCTCGTCTTTACCAGTGGCTCTTGACTGGTTGGAGAAGCGCCACATGGTGTCGATACTGGATAATGGAGCAGAAGGGCCATGGGGTTGAAAAGTTCAGGGACAGCTAGAAGGAAATGTGCTTCCAGCTGCCCGTGAGGCTCGCAGAGTGTCCAGCCTGATTCTCCAAGGGCAGGGGCTATACCTCTCTTCTGTTACCATCCCAACAGGGCCTAGTCCAGAATTCCGGATCCATGCCAAGAGGGGATAGGCTTTTCTGGGTCACCCCTGCCATCCCTGATTCCTTCCATGCTGGGCACCAAGCAGGCAAACCAGACCATTTGTGAAAAGCCCCATGAGATGGATAAGCCACTTCTTGCAGCTGAGTTGACGTGAATCCTGCAGAACCATGCCATCTGTTTGGGAGCTAAGAGGGGAAGAGACTGGCAGGGGCAGCGCATGCTCAGTGCACGGCCACATCCATTGCTCATCAAGGAGCTCTGTTTGGAAAGAGAGCCCTGGGCTTAGAGTTTTTTGAGAACTGAGGCTGACGAAAAGCAATGGCAACTGCAGCACCACTGACCAGACATGTACTTTGTGCCCAGCATGGTGCCAGGGCATCACGTCCAAGGTCTCATTTAGTGAAAAGAAATAAGAATAGCTAACATTTATGGGCTCTTTCTTCCTATGTGGATGCACCAAGTGTTAAGCCCGGTTAACCTTCATAACCTTCATAAGCACCATCTTGAGGAATGGCTCTCATTATTCCTGTTTTGCGGAGGAGGAACCTATCTGTTATTTGTTACCCAGTTCCCGTTCTCCCCTATAGAACCCTGGATGTTTCATTTGGAACACAGCCACCAGAATAAAGACTACACCTCCCAGCCTCCCTTGCAGTTAGGTATGGTCATGTGACAACAGTTGGCCAATGGAAAGTGAGCAGCCAAGCTGGGTGTACTCTCTAGTCAAGGCGTGTCCTCTTTTCCTCCTCCCACCTACAAGAACACTGGCAGAGTAAAGAGGCAGTTAGGGCCTCAGGGACAAGGACTGCACCCAAGGAACAGCGAGCAACAAGATGAATTGGAACATGTGGGGCAGGTGACACTGAGAAGTCACTGTGCAAAGAAATAAGCTTCTCTCCTATTTAAGTCCCCTTTGTCAGAGTCTGGGTCTCTGCAGGCTGGCAGCCCTGCTAACAGCACTCCATTTGATGCCACTGGGCCCTGGTTGCTGGAGATGTGTCCTATGAGAGCATAGGGCCAGAGCCCACTTGACCACCTCCTTTCTGAAGGCGCCTGCCACCTTGCCCTGCTGACCTGAAACGTCCTGGCCAGAAGAGGCCCCTTGGGGAGTCTGCTCCAGGGTTTAATTGCTCTGACGGCCCAAGTGGCTTCCTGCTCTTGGCTTCATTTTCTACATCTTGATCACACAGGCCCTGTTTACACAATGGCCAGTTCTGGGCCTGGGAAAGGAGCCACCAGATATGTCAGGGAAAGGTCAGGCCCCTGGTGTGAGCCACAGCTAGGGCAAGAGGCAAGGGACAGAGGAAAAGTGGGGTTTGGAACAAACAGAAGGGCCACACGTCAAGGGGAAACTGAGGCTCAAAGGGCCCAAACCCTCCCCTCAAGTAACCGTTCTGGCCCACAGCGGCCTTTGTGTTTTTGAGAGCTTAAGATCTAAATCCATCCCAAGTCCTCATTGCAGGGTGAGAACATCTCCAGTTTCCCCCAGGAAAGAGATGGACAGAGCTCTCCCTTCTAGACCAGGCCCGAGCCCAGAGCACTGGTCAACAGAATAAGCCCATTCAAAACTCAAGATGAAAAAGTCAGTCCCAAAAGATGACTTCCTGTATGATTCCATTTGTACAACATTCTTGAAATGACAAAAAATGTTTAATTAAAAACATACACCATATTTCCCCATGTATAAGACACACCTTAATTTTGGGGCCCAAAATTTGAAAAAAATGTATTACATAAAGTTATTGACCTAAAGTTTTATTCATCATAAAATTCATACAACTCCTTATCACTTTGCGTGAAACGCAAGTTAAAAAATCTACAACCACTGTATAAGACGCACCCAGTTTTTAGACCCCAAAATTTTTGAAAAAGGGTGCATCTTATACATAGGGAAATACGGTCACCAAGGCCAAGTCTTTGGCACTATCTCTTGCACCCTCTTCCCCCCATATTTTTGGATCACAACTGTTCCTGCCAACTGAGAACAGTGTCTGCTGGGGACATGTCAGACAGAGGCTGTGGGTCCAGGTCCAAGTGACCACATCTTTGCTGCAGTTGACTGACCTATGGGGGTGCCTCTACTGGATGAGACTTTGTCTTTTTTCCCGGGGCTGGGGCATGGTCAACTGACAGTATGAGACCAGAGGAGTGAGGAGCACCCAACCATGATCTGGGCGGGCAAGGCTCTTCTCTCTGACACTCAGTTTGCTGATTTGTGAAATGGGGTGATAGTAGAAGTGCCTTACAGGACACTAGGGAAATTCAATGAGATGACGTAGCCACAATGCCATGCCCAGGGTCTGGTCCCACAACAAGGTTGATGACGTGTGGGTTGCTTCTGAACCTGACACTGGGAACAAGGGGAGAAAAGCCACTCCATGCTACAGGCCTCTCTGCCTCAGAGACCCAAAGCCACATGACCTTAGGTGAGGCCCTCTTCTTCTGGGCCTCAGTTTTCCCACTGAGGGGACCTTGAAGATTCCTCTTGAGTTTTAAGTTTCACAGACTGTAAATATTTTCCTGGCCTCTTGTGTGTGTTTTAGCAATCCCCTAGTACCTTTCCTGTTTTCTGGGGCTCTGAGAGCTCTCAGCAAGGTTGAACTTGACAGCCAGAAACATGCCAACTGGGGCTTCTGACTTTTGAACATGGTCTCTCTGTGGGGGAGAAACTTTGCCCTAAATTCAAGCACAGTAAATATAGCTGTAATCCACAGCTGGGAGTTTTCTTAAACTTCATTGAGCAAAATCTAGGCACCATCCCTATAGTCAAATCCCTTGACCTATTTTTTAAAAATCTGTTCTGTGATGGAATGCAAAATTACATTTTTAATTAGAATAACATTTAAAATAATGAACCATTGAGCCCTTAGTTCTGTGCCAGGTGCTGTGTTAAGCACTTTACTTGTGCTCGCTCATTGAATCTTCACAGGAACCCACAAAAGGGACTATTATTATTATCATCACCATTTTATACATAAGAAGAGAGGCTCAGAGACGCTAGGTGACCCACCCAAGATTACACAGTAAGTAAGGGGCAGAGCTAGGATAAGAATGTAGGCAGTCAGGCTTTACCATCAGCATTTCTTTTTTTTCTTTTTTTGGTTAATTGGGGAATTGGGGAGGGGACCAGCCAAGTTGTTGTTCTTCAATCTTAATTGTGGAGGGTGCCAGTCGCCATCTGACTGCCTGTAGGCAGCTCGTGGCCTCTAAGCTGAAGGTGCTGTGTTACAATCTTTAGTTGTGGGTGGGCAGAGCCACCATCCCATGCGGGAGTCAAACCGGCAGCCTTGTTGTTAAGAGCGCATGCTCTATCAACTGAGCCATCTGGGAGGCAGCTCAGCTCAAGGTGCTGAGTTCAATCTTAGTTATGGGTGGGCGTAGCCCACCATCAAACATGCAGTCTTGTTGTTAGGAGCACTGCTCTCACCAGCTGAGCCCCTGTTGGCAGCTCAGTGGCAGCTCGGCTCAGGTGCTCAGCTCGGGTGCAGTGTCACTGGCTCATGTGGGAATCGAACTGGTGGCCCTGTTGTTCAGAGCTTGCACTCTTAACTAACTCTTAACCAACTGAGCCACTCAGCCGGCCCACATTCTTAAACACTTACCATGCTATGCCACCTGTCCAGAGAAGAGAAAGTATAATAAAAGTGAGTCTTGTGGACTCACAGGACAGCCAGTTGCTGTGGAGGTGGCACTTCTCAGAAAAAAAAGGGGTGGGTCTCTGGTGAGGACCATAAACATCTAGGTTTGACAGACAGTGAAATGACTTGGTGGGCCCCACATGTTGCCACCCTTCACAGACTGCCAAAGGGGATGGGGCCCAT